ATTTGCCTTACTGCCCAATAAGAGTCTATATAATTATCAGAAACATTTTTATATTTTATATAGATCTTTATGTTTTGTAGAATTTACGCTGCGAGGTGACATTTTTTTTTTGGTTCCAATTTGTCTAGTTATTTTTACTATAAATATAAAAACAAAATTCTCTTAAAATTAAAAGCCTATCAAATAGTTTACAACTGTAATTTGTCACTGCATTTTTTGTTGACATGTTGATAAGTTATATTGTTAGGTTCACATCGTTCAACAGCTTACATATTATAATACAGCCATACAGGATGTCTGTATGTAACAGAAATAGCTGACGAATGTACCTAATTAAGTAATATTAACTAACTACCAATGTAATAACTTTTATTATAGTCAATATTCCATTTATTTTTTTTAAATATATATAGATTAAAATAATATTATAAAATTAAAATTAATAAGAATAAAAGTTATTGGGTACATAATATAGTCATAGTTATAATATTACATAATTGTTATATATTTCTGTTACACTCTATTTATATAGGTATAATCGTATATTATGTTTATGTGTGCATACGTGTCAGTGCATTGTGTATCATATCAATGGTGTTGTAATAAAGCCCCGCAAAGTTTCTGATACCTTGCAACCCATTATATAGACTTCTTTAGTATGTATACAATTTGTCACTTTATGGAAAGTGGTGTATGTAATACTATTACTATTAACTATTCTCTTCGTCAGATATATCGCGAATGGCATTACCATCATTAAATATCGCTGATGAAGAATATTAATTAGATTTGATGAACTTTTTAAATTTGTTTTCAATTTTCATAAGCTTAATTTAAAAACATTATTACATTATTTATTTTCATTTTATTATACGAGTTATACTACTATTAAACTTAAATTATAACTACTTACTGTAAGAAGATTTTACACCTACCCAAAATATAGATTTTCATGTCCTATATTTTATTTTTTTACTGCAAAAAACAACTTTATTGTATCTGTTATTATACATTACAATATTATATATGTTTTGCAATTTTAGCATTTATCATACACCCACTCATTGATTCAATTTTCGCAAAAAAACCTTCTTCAGCACTCCACTGCTATATAAATAATAAATATATAATATTTATACTGATATATACTATATGTTTATATGCCTAAATTATAAGCTTTACGGCAGACTGCCAAATAAGCATTTAAAATTATGATTCATCTTCAACCCGGCTAAAATATTCATTAGGTTTAGTATTTTATTTTCGATTCATCAGGTTCGTGTATACCAACAGTAGTATAGGTATAATGCTCTTTAAGCTCCCTTTATTGCTGTAGTACATAATATTTGGTGTAAATCTATTATCTACTATATACAGTACCTATACACAGTCCTAATTATTTCTTCGTTTAACATACAGTTATACTAACCATGCAGTGAAAATGAAACAATAATTTAATAAATTAATAACTGAAAAATTAGCCATTATTTAAAATTTAATAACTTAATTTTCTAATGTATACCATACCATAGACCATACAACAAAGATTAAGGAATAGGTATGACGTTATAAAGAAGTCTCTCACACTCTCACTCGCACTTGTTGTCTTCCGCATGCTCCGTCTTTTTAACATAGCCACATATTATGTAGGTACAAGAGCAAATTTGCCTTTAGCAGATCAAATGTTGAGTCGTTAGCTTTTTAGTAGAATGAATTGACTTAAAGTCAAATTTAAAAGTATAAGAATATTATCTGTGTATTTGCTGTATACGTATGGATATGTATATTTGTACATACTGTTGTGATTTATAAGACGCATTCGGATTTTATAACCATACGATTATTTTTCATAAGCATTTAAAGTTCAAATTTTGACAAAATTCATAAACACTTCGAAAATGTACAAACTATATTTCAGTTAAAAATTCATAAAAAATTATTTTCCTTTCATAGCCAACATTAGACATTTTGATAGAAGATTCCCCACAATTTTTCCTAATTTTAACAAATAAAAAAAAAATTACTGGAAAGGATGTTATCGCATCAATTTTTTTTAAAGTTTGAAAATGTTTGAAAAATTTTATGATATTGGATTTTCATCGGTAAATTATCCATGTTCCATAGGTACATGGTGTCAGGGTGTCAATCTATTTTGCCTATTTTTGAGCTATTTTGACTATTTATAGCCATAATGATTTTTTTTTTTAATTTTGTAAGTTTTTTTCAGTTAAAAATTCATAAAAGATTTTTTTTTTCATAGTTAATAAGACTAAACATTTTAAAAGAATATTTCACATATGCTTTTCTACTTATAACAAAAAAAGAGTTTACTTAAACTGAACTTTAATTTTTTATGAGCGTTTGAACTTTTAGTTTTTGCGATATTCAGCAGAGAATAATCGAATTCCCATTTATCGATTTTTGATATTTTGTTGTAGGTATATGGTATATCCAAGACAAATAAGTAATAACCTTGTAAACACTTGAAATTATCACCAAAAAAGTATTATAGAATATTCCATAAATGGTACAACTTTTAAACAATTTTGACTCTTTTTGTGCTATTTATAGCCAAGATAATTTTTTTTAAGTTTTATAAATTATTTTTCAGTTAGAAATTCATACAAGTTTTTCTAAGCTATCATTAGAAATTTTAATAGAAGGTTCCCAACATGTCTTTCTACCACTATAAAAAAGAAAAAGTTCTGCACCAGAAAGCATGAGATATTTTTGATTTTTATTAGTTTTTTTTTAACTATTAAATTGGATGATTTATACTAGACGTATGGGTATGAGTGGTATGATACGACGGATCTGCTCAGAATCGGTTTCGTATACAAAGATTTATCATTGAATTCAAATATAACACATCCATTACAACGACATGCTCGACAACTACTGTACAGCAGAGTGGTGCCCACTTGTTCACCTTTATTATTTATTAATATAGTCTGCATTGGCATAATATTTTTGTAATTTGGTCTGTTGGATAGCAAGGGGGGCATTTGCTAATTTACTTAGCTAAATGTAAATCATTATTTTCGAAGCATTTTTTTTTTTATTATTTTCATTTCACCTATATATGAGGGTAACGTCTAACAACATGAATACTAAAAAAAATATAATTTATAAAAACCATTTTAATGGTACTACCTAGTACCTACCTATTGTTATTATTAGAAATTTAGAAACATTTCGTATAATTGTTCCGAGGTAAAGATACTATACACCGATATGGGAGTACCTATTATCTTTTAAAAATTAAAATCAAATGTACACTGTCTTAAACGTTTACATCTCAAATTCAATTCTGCACTGCACTAATGTACCAGTTACATATTGAATGTTAGAATAAAATATTTTATTAGGTATTTTAAAACAATTGTTGAACATAAACAATATTTTTTATGTAATCAAACTGCTGAATAATTCAATAATTTCGATGTAAGTATCTAATTATATTAATTTTTTTATCCCATCAATAATCAGTAACGTGAGCTTTTAATAAATACAATTTACTTTTAAGTATATTATAATTAATACTATATAAGTACCTATTTAATACTTACTTAAATATTTGCTTAGAATTTATGACATTTAATAATTATTAAAACTTCATAAATCAAGAAAATTGATATCGTATAGCATGTGTACTTTTCACCGTTTGTAAAGTGTAAAAATAAATAACTATTATAGGTACCTATATTATATTTGCCTATATTCGTAGAATTCTAAAATATCTAATATTTCCACTACATTTTTTAATATTTCATAAGTACTTATGTTTTACAACACTAAAATATTATAGTAGGTATTTTACTAATCCACCATCCATGTATCCATTTTTAACACAAATGTATCTATTTTTAATTTCCGCCTAAGTAGGTAAGGGATATCTATGCGGGTTCCTCTAACATATAGACGAAAATTGGGAATAGAATGCTTAAGCTCGTGGAGCCTGGAGAGGTTATATCTAGCCACTACCTTCCTAAAAATGTTTAATAAATCCTAAAATGTCTAGTCTTTAATATTCTGAAAAAAATATCTAAAAATTTAATTATATAAAAAATAAAAAATAAATTTTATAAACTTTGTATACGTAACTTAACAAAATATAAGTAATAAATTGTTATTTTGACGTATATATATAATACTTATATGCCACTTATTTGAGAATGCAGATGTGTAGTCCAATTTTAAAAGAAATGTAGCAATAAATGCGTCACAATTACACAAAATGCCAAAAATTATTAACTGCCTAAGTACCTAACTTTAATAATTCCTTATAATTCATAACTTTGATGAACAGAAAATGTGCAGAATGAGTTTTTGTTCAAAATATAGGTTGTATAATAAACAAAAATATAAAGGTTATCGATATTTTGAAAAAAGTCGCATCACTCGGTGCAACAGGTCAATTGTTAATAGGATATATAATGCACGTGTGATATACCCATAATATATACAGGAAAACTTCCATATAACGAAGTCTTATGTGGCATAAAAAATTCATATTATGGAGAATTGCGTTAAATAGAGTTGAATAAATTTTGTTTTAATTTTGTTGGGTTTTCAAAAATATTTTGTTAAACGTAAAATTTTAGTAAACGGAAGTTCGTTATATGGAAGTTTCACTGTATTTATATAATACAAGTGGAATCGGAGGAATCAGTCCTCCCGATAAGCTTTTAGTCAAACAATATATTTTTGGTTTAGTGTCAGTATAATATACCTATATTTAGCTGGTAAGTTTCTTCTATAGTCGTAGACTTTCCCTTTATGCGACACTTGAAAGAAATACACTTGGCTAATTCAAAAGTCATTACTCATTAAATAATGTATAATGCTAATTAATATGTATTACTATAAGCTACTATAGGTATAATATATAGTATTATAATGTCCTCCCAAAAATCGAATTTTCGAAAAAAGGTTCACGGATTTATGCGCTTCATTAACTCCGCGGTCGTTCATGCTAATATACATTTAATTATACTTACCGACTTCATAGCAGGGTGTCATGCGTGTGGCCGCCGGTCGCTTATTGTCGCCGACCTCGATGGCCGGCCTCCGGACTTGCAACAGCGAGTCCACCGTGAACCTCTTGGTGTTTTCGGACGCGTACTCGTCCTCGGGCCTGCCGTATCCGCCGACGGCGGCGCCCTGTTCGCCGAGCATGTGCAGGACGAAACCACTTTCGAACCGCATACAAAAAAAAATTGCTAGTACAGCACCCGGTATTAATGTAGAATGTAGATTATTATTATATATATACCTATATACTGCAACAGACCGCTATATGTAATAGTATCGATATTATAGTAAGCAAGAAACAAAATGTATAAAATATGTATTTTATATACCAATATAATATATTATAACAATTATTCTACTATAATACACAGTGTAAAATGTAAATTATAAATGTTATTACACAGTAATATATAATATGCGCTTAAGTGCAGTTGTCGAGGCGGAGACGGTGGTACGCGAAGACATACTGTGACGACTCTAGACGTGAGATATTCAGTGGCATCCACACGTAAATATATATGAAAAAAAAAAAACGAGACCGCCTCTACAGCGGACGCGCGTGCGTGCGAGAGACGAGCAGACGATATTATTTAGGGGGCGGCGGCGGCGGCCTTTTGGTAGGAGTCCAATCGCGGGTGTCCGCGCGAATTATGTTGTCTGTTCGAAAAACTGACAAGCGACCGCCGCCACTGTGCGCGAGTAGGTACCTATATATATACAAACACACAGGCATATAGATAGGTATATGACACTTTGAACAGCTAGCTGTAGCTCATTATTTCGAGTTTTTTTTTCGGAAGCCTTGAGAAGATACATAATATCCATAGTATTATATATTATTATGTGCGATTTTAACATTATTATAATCATTATGGGTATACTCTCATTTTGTCGTCCCCGGTAGTTTTAGCTATATAATCGTATAGTTTTAACTATAATATATCGTCCCCGGATAGTCCCCTATCATTTTTGATATTTGAATATTATATTTTGTAACACATTCATTGTATTATATAGTTTATAAGGCATTTTTTATATTATATTCATCCTTTAAAATCTAGTAAGAATATACCTACATTAAAGATGGTTAAAATACCTATTATAGTATTATGTTCAAAAAATCTATTTTTCATTATATACGGCGTCTTATACATTTTAATATATAATAGAACTATCAATTAGGTATAACTTTGATTTTAAGTTTGAAAAATGTGGCTGGTAATTTTCAGAGTATTTACTCATTAAAAGCTAAATTATTTTTTGAATTCCGATTCATGGTGGTATATTAAATACCGATTTGAAAACCATGCTATAATAATGTAAATAATATATAGATACCACAAGTGGCACAAGTTAATGGTCCACATGCAGAGGCTCTAGTTTACAAAATAAAGAATATTCTATTATTATTTCAATTTACCTAATGAAGTAACAGTAACTTATTTTTGTTATCTACAAATTACAAATATTTTATATGTATATGTTAATACCTAATTGATACTTTGAGATTCTGATTGGAACCTTGAATGTATTTATAGTTTACAATAATGTTTTTTTTTTTTTTAATTTTATGTCAGTCATCACCTTTTGGGGGCAGTTAAAATGCTTCGATTTTCTACTTCAGTAGTAACTTTCTGGTAAGAAAATTAGTCTAGTCGGTACTTTGTAAGTCCAATTCCTAGTAATTTTCAAAAGCGTATAGGGAAACCCCAAAAAAAAAGGTGGGCAAGGGGGTGTTGCTCTGCTATACAGTAGGTTACTACTGGGTCACTGTAATGGATTGTATTAAATTTGAATTCAATGAAATATTATTTATTATTATTGTATAAGAAAAACGATTCTGAGCGAAGACGGTCAGTCAGATGATATAACTAAGTATATTAGATGATATTACTAGGGGTGATATTATTGTAAATAAAGTAATTTATATATTATAATCTATTTACGTGGAACCCTATTTTAAATTTTCCAATCAGTGGCGGTTTTGATAAAACATCAAAGGGGGCTATTTTCAATTTTTGGGCCTCCCCCCACCATAATTAAAGCAATTCAAGCATTTAGTGTAATTTAAATGAAAAAAAGGATATGCAATAAACCGCCACTGTTTTCAATCTTTATAGCTATAAAATATGAGCATTTTATACATTTTTAACTACTATTCTTCAACTAGTATAGTAACAATTTATCAGGAGCTATTATGTATAAGGTACATTTTCACACTTTTTGGGCCAAAAAATACAATTTTATTGATTTTTATAGAAAAAAAATTTAATTTTGAAATTGTCTGTTAATAGCACAAAAAATGTTAAAATATTTTCAAAATTTTATGGTATACCTATAGAAAATGTCCGTAAACAGTTCAAAACAAATACATTTTTTTTTGAAAATTTTATCGTGTATAGAAAATTCTATTATAAACAACCAGTAAATATTTCATATATCTACGTTCATTTGTTTTAGAGTTAGACCAAAAACCAAAATCTATTTTGTCAAAAACCGATTTAGTGTTAAAATTTCAGTTTTTCCTTAATTTGTATGTTTTTTTCCCTGTGCTTTTGAAACTATTGGGAATTTAAAATTTTGACCTCCTGAATGTACCAACTAGATTCACTTTCCCATCGAACAAGATACTGTTAAAGAAAATCAAAGCAGTTTTAGTGCCCCAAATGGTGGTGACAGACACTAAAATAAAAAATTAAAAACACACATCATTGTAAAATCAATACATTCATCGTTCCACTCAGAATCTAAAATTAAAGAAAAACTGGGATTTTTTCCTAAAACCGGATTTTGACAAAATCTATTTCGTTTTTTTGGTGTAACACAAATACTATAATAGTTGCATTCCGCACTTGAGATATACTAAAATTATCATGAACGCACTTGATCTATTAAAAAGGTACTATATAGGTACTTAACGGGACGCACTCGGGCGACCAAGTCTGAAAATACAAAATATTCTATTAAATTGTCATTTATAATTATATAATGTTTTCAAGAACATTACAACCAGTGTTGGGGAGTAACTTAACTTAAGTTACAAGTTACTGTAACGAAATTACTTTTTAAGTAATATGATGCTAATTTTTAATTTTTAATTTTTCTTTATTAATATATACACAATCTATACACAATCGGCACAATAAGAGTATGAGCTAATGACAAGGAAGAATGAAATTTTGAATGAAGAAGCCACCCACTGATCACACTTCGTGCTGATGGTAATTTAATTACATTTTATCGTAAGTAATTTATATGCAATTTAAGTTACTTTTTTTTTGGATTATTAAATTGTTTAGAACGTATTGATAATATTGTGTGTAGGTAAATATTAAAATATATCATAATATAAGTATTTTAGTTTAAAATTGTCTAAACTGTAATATTTTTGTTATATCTATTGACTATATTCGACTATAAAGTGTTACTTTTAGAATGGAATTCTTATCTTTACTCTGTGATGTATCGTCGCGGACCATAGACATATTAATAAATTATTAATATGTCTATGTCGCGGACGGCACACGGCGTCAGCGTCTGCGCATACAGCATTGTTGTAACTATCAATAAATAGTAATAATAATAAAAGTGTGGGAGACGGAGAGGTCGAGCGGACTAAGGCGTTGGTTGCAACGCGCATCGTCGCCGGTTCGAATCTCGGTCACGGGCTTAACTTCTCTCCGGCAGACATCTGTCTGGAGAGAGAGGCCGCCATTCCCCGACCGGGCATGGCAGAAACCTACGGATGCCCAATTTGAAATTCCACCAAGCTAAAATACGCGTGTTTACAAAAACCTACTGCAGTATCCTCCCCCACAGTTAAAAACCACCCAATTGCCTAAGTTTCTGCGGGTTAGTTAATAAAAAAAAAAAAATTAATCTATACTAATATTATAAAGAGGAAACTGAGGAAAGATTTGATTGTTTGTATTGAATAGGCTCCGAAACTACTGGACAGATTTTAAAAATTGTTTTACCATTAGAAGCCGACATTATCATTGATGAATATAGGCTAATTTAAAAAGTGAATTGATCACCCAGGGGAGGTGCTCAAACTGGAATTTTGAGATTTACGATAGAAATTTGTGTATAAAAATAGTTGCCATGGGTTTAAAGCATTATAATAATAAATAATAATTATTGGATGTTGTTTATTGAAAATGGTGGCTATTGCCTATTGATCATAGGAGAAATAGTTAGTATAATATGTCCGTAATACCTACGACTGTGATGTACGACCGTTATCGGCATCATGGCGGCGTGTGTATAAACAATACATTACATTACTGTTTAGTTTTTTTTCTCATTTTAAAATGCCCAAAAGAACAAGATCTCAACTTTCTAGAAATAGTTCACAGGCTAGGGCAATAAAAATACGTCGTCATGGAGAATCTCAATCAGAAACTGAAAATCGTCTTGCAAGTCAGAGAGAATAAGCGTCGCAATCGCGTGCAAGAGAGTCAAGTATCGAGCGTTCACAGCGGCTTGAAGAACAAAATATTAGAAATGTACAAGCTCGCGCTAGGGAATCGAGCTCTGAACGTTCCGAGCGCCTTCAAAATCAGAGAGAAAGACAACAGACGGCAACGGCTAGAGTTCGCAATCGAGTTGTAGCTCATAGTAACAGATCGGCTTTCACATACGAATATACGATCCAAAGATTGATTATGCTCAACAGTCTTCCGTCCAAATCAGAGCCATGAATAAGATCTGCTCTAAATGTTCTGCCAAAAAATGGGCCGATGAACCTAATGGTTTGTGCTGTGCTTCTGGAAAAGTCAGTCTCCCCAAATTTCAGAAGCCGCCAGAGCCAATAAAAAGTCTTTTGACAAATAATCATTTACATGGTAGACATTTTCTAACCAATATACGTAGGTACAATAGTCTATTTCAAATGACTTCGTTTGGCGCGAAAAAAATTAGAGAACAAAATTTTATGCCCACTTAACTTTGTGGGCCTATCACGAGTTGGATCTGCTGATAATCAATTTATTTTGCTGCCAGAAAATAAAACAACATCAAATATAGTTTACAGAGAAGCTCTAACCCAATAAATTTAATGACATATGATTCAATATAATTTTATTTTATTTTATTTTCAATATATGATTAATAAAAATTTTTCTATAATATAATTTTTTTTCATTCGATACATGTTATTATGTTTTACAACAATAATAAAAATGTAAAGGGTATTTGACTTGCAATTCTTTTCACGGGCAACGCCGTGCGGGTACGGCTATATAGTATGTCCCAAAAGTCCCGTATCACCCTTAATATCTCCATGTAAAATCACTATATTTAAACGCGGTTTTTTTTACAGTACTAAGTATGAAAATTCTGATTGAATGGCATAAAATTCATTTATTTTTTTCTTTAAATTCAAAAATCTTCAAAATAATTTTTTACGCATTTAAGAACTTAAAATTTTTAAGATAGCCATTTTGTTGAGCATATTTTTTAAAACAGTTCAAAAAAAAAAATACTAAAATTAAGTAAAAATTGACCAAGTTAGAGCAAGTTATGTTTTTGAATAATTGTAGTAAAAAAATAAATTAGGAATGTAAAAGTATTGTCGTGTGCTGAAATTAGATATTTCATTATTGAAATGTGAAACAATAATTTATTTTTTTCCGAATATTTTGACTTATTTTGAGCTCTTTACGGACATTTTCTGTTTCAGTTTTTTTAAGTTTAATATTCCTTATTTTTTAAAATTCAACCATATTCGGACGTTTTCAAAAATTCGGGATAAAGTCGCGGCTGACTTTGAATTTTTAGTTGTTGAGACCAATTCATATTTTATTCTTTTCAAATGTGCGTTTAAAATCTGGTGATGATTTTAATATTTTATAACGATTTCTCCAAATTGTTTTCTCTTAAATTAATTACACATCAATAAGTTAGTTTAGTTTTGTTGCTTAATAATTGGCTTATCAAATTCTTTGGATTTCTACTTTTTTGATGACTGGGGCATTAACATTATTAACATTATTTTATTATGGTTCGATGTCGATGAAACCTTGATATTTTTGATAACACTTTTAAAATTATTACGATATTATATAATTTTGAACATTCGTAACTCGGGCCGTCGTAGAGCGCTTCGGGGCGGCGACCAAAATTCGTCCGTTCTCGCGCATTCCCGTGCAGTATTTATGGCGGCAACTAGGTGGTAGAGTGCTAGAAATACCGCGGAGCTCAATCAGTTGGATGCTCGAAGGAGTAAGCGCTCTTAGAGCGGCCCTACTGTATTATAGTTAATAATAAAACATTTCCAATCACTTTTAAATTTATAACATGAAATATTATTAGATAAGTTTATCCGCGGGTGGGTTTGCCGTTTAGTAAGTACCTAAATATATTCCATAGACAATTTATTTTATTTTAAATATTTATCAAACGAGGCGTACCTACTAATTCAAATTTACATATACTTAGTTGTATTGTCCATTTCTATCCTTATAATTTAATAGTGTTACAAATTAAATGTTCCTGATTTTTCATTAATTTGTATTTAGAAAATATTATCAGAAACCTACGATAAGTAATCATCGTCGAGAAAAGTGCCAGACATTTTTAAGGAGGATTTCTAAACTAAAATATACATACAGTAAGGTACCGTAGACAATATGGACATGCTTAGTTCCTTTTGAGTTGTTGCCTGTACTACAGGCATATTTTAGAAGTACCTAATTCAATTTCAAATTCATAGTTAATTGATGTATCCTTTCTTTCTAAAATTGTAAGAGGTACCTACCATTGACTGCTCAGACTTACTACACCTTCTTAATTTTCATATCCCCACTTTCAATGCTCTTTCCATTCGTACATTCGCAATTCCCTTCCACCATACTTCCTACGGCGCTAATAACCCTTATGACCGAAAATCTGGTGACTTAACCGGCTAAATAATTATGATATGTTTATTAATTAATGTTATCTATGTGCACTGATTAATCGATTAATGTAACTATTTGTTTAATTCAATCGTTTTACTGTTATGTAATTTATAAGCAATGATACCTACTTTAGTATTTGTATTTTGTATATTGTACCTTAATTGTGTATGTTATGTTTTTTCTGAATTATGAAATTTGTATTAATTCTCTGAATCGATGATTCAGTCTCTGTCATTTTATATAATATTATGTTGTAGGTAGTGTACTTGAGCCTTTAGGTGTTTACTCAATAAAAAAATATGTAACAGATATTATCAGTGGTTGAAGTGGGGGGGGGGGATACGGACATACGGTGGGATGACATCCCTCCACTTTTTTCGTCGAAAATAATGTATACCCTTATAATTAATTTCATAATACCTACCTAGCCACTTCGACCACTGGATAGTATTAATGTAAATTATTGATGTGCCTGAAATAAATAAATAAACAGCGAAATTGGTATATTGAAACTAAAGTAGAAATTTTGTTTTAGGCGCAACTAAAGGTCCATGCGGTCCCTTTCCCACACCTCACATATGTGGCAGATACGTCACAAAATACTTTACGGTACGACTTTCATATCTATATAGGTAAGTAAGTGTGCCAATCCAGCTCTTTTTGATCGCTCTATTCGATACCCAGATGGATCGCTTATGAGATGGTTATTAATTACCATTCCATCCTTCCAAGTGATTTAGTGATGACGTGAACTTTTTATTTCTATGAAACAACTACATACCCCACACAACATTTTTGTCACAATTTACACTTATACGAAATTTTGTAATAAAAAAATTGTGCCTATGTATTTTTAATATTTTTCAACTGATATTGTAACAATATATCAGGAGCCTTGTATTACATTTTTACACTTTTTTGCCCAGCAGATAAAACTTTATTGATATTCATAGAAAAAAAACAAAAAATATTGAAAAATGAAAATATCCGTAAACAGCTCAAAAAGAGTCAAAATATTTTCAAAATTGTATAGGTGTATAGGAAATGCTAATATAAACATTCAGTGAAATTTTCATGTATCTATAGTTATTCGTTTATGAATAACAACAAAATAAGGAAATCGCTACATGAGAAATCGAGTGAACATCCAATGTTGTAAAAATTTGAATTTCAAACGCTCATAAAAATTTAATTTGACTGTCCGGTAGAGATTTTTTTATTGATAAAGGTAGACAAACTTATAAGTAATCTTGTATTACATTTTCAAATCTTAGATTTAAGAAGAAAAATTTTTACGAACTCTTAACTCAAAATAATTTGCTAATTTTCGTGATTTATCCATATTTTGTCAATTTTTGAACTTTAAATGCTTATAAAAAAAAACTGTGACTAACGATTTTTAATATTTTTCATCTGCCTTTGAAACAATATACTAGGAGCCTTCTATTAAATTTTCAAGTTTTTTTAACCAACAAATAAAATTTTATCGATATTTCTAGAAAAAAAACTAAAAAAAAAATGAAAAATGAAAATGTCCCTAAACAGTTCAAAATAAATCAAAATATTTTGAAAATATTATCGTGTATAGAAAATGCAAATATAAACAACCAGTGAAAATTTCATGTATCTACGGTCATTTGTTTTAAAGTTACACCAAAAACCAAATTCAATTTTCTGAAAAATCGATTTTGCGTAAAAATTCCCGTTTTTCCTTAATTTTTCTTTTGTTTTTCTTGGCGCTTTTGAAAAGTACTGGGAATTTTAAATTTTGACCTCCCCAATGCACCAACGATATTCACTTTCCAATCGAACAAGATACTGAAGTCGAAAATCGAAGCATTATTTCGACTACTTATCGTGTAGGTACACAGACACAAAAAAAAATAAAAACAATTTTTATTATTTTTTATTATTCATCGGATTTTAGTACGGTTAGGTTAGGTTAGGATTTTGTATTGATTAATTATATCAATTCACCGTAGGTGGAATGAAGTAACTTTGATACTCTAGAGCTAAATCATACACTTACGTACAAACAGCACGGGATCAGCGATCTACTGATAATATATTATCGCCTACCTGGGCCACTTCCGAAAATATTTAACACCATCAAGCAACAAGTCCTTACGTTGGTATGTAGTTACTATGTAATAGTCAATAGGTCCGTACTAAATTATATAATATATTGATCTATTGAAATAATAATCATCTCGGACGTTTATAATTTAGGTATGTGAGTATTATTGATGTCCGCTTTGGTTAAACACTGATAAATATACGACCATGAGCATAAGGAAATTTGAACGATATAAAATAATAGGTAGGTACTTAACTATATTATAATATTATATACAAGATACCACCGTGTTTGATTTTACAGAATAAAAAAATACATTTTCAGCTTTTGACAAAGTTACGATGAATTTTCTAATAAACCGGGTCCCGAATGTTTTGTTGGTTAGGTATATTCTTCATGCACTGGTCGAATAAATATATAGGCACTTAGGTAGGTACCTAAACTATTAAATGCTGATATTATATTACTTTGGGTTTTATTTTGTAGCGGCGTGGTTGTGGACACACAAACGTCGTCGTCGGTTTGAGTGTTTGACAGTTCCAAACGAGGTTAGGTTTTAGATTTTTAGAAGATTGTACATAGTAAAAATAATAATTACTATTATTATTACTTGAGTCGTTACACCGGCGACACAT